GACGCAGTACGGATGCAGTACTGACGCCATACTGACTCTGTACTAATGCAGTACGGACGCAGTACTGACGCAGTACGGATGCAGTACTGATGCAGTACTGACGCAGTACAGACGCAGTACTGACGCAGTACCTTACCTTGGGCTCAGTGGTCAGGCTGCTGATCTGGATCGGCTGGACCGGAGTCTGAGTGGGGACGGGGGTGGGCAGGGGCACCTGGGCGGGGCTGGCGAGGCGGGTGGGTGCAGCGGAGACTGGCGTGGTGATGACGATGCCCGTCAGCGGGGCGGCGCCGGTCTTGCTGCAGGGCTGGCCGTTGACGATGCGGACCTGGTGGATGGGCGCCGACGACGACAGCGAGGACGAGAGCTTGGTGGCCAACATGACGGGCCGCTGCAGCAACTGGGGGGCCGCCATCATGGGTGGGGGAGGGGCCGGTGCGATAGGGACATTGGTGGGCGTGGCCAGCTTTGGCCGGACCTGATGACGACACACAGCCAATCACAAATCGGCACAACAATGACCTGATACTGCCAGGTAACGCCACCGTGGAGCTCTACCTCAGCCTGACCGAGCCGACCTGCTGCTACAATGTTACAAACATGAGTTCATTTATTTTGATGTATCAAATCAAAAAAGACAGATACACCACATCACACGCTGAGTAAAGCAGTGCCAGCTCTGCTACCACACAAGCCCCGCCTCCAAAGTCCCCGTCTTTAACCACACCTACAGCTCACTCTCAGGGAATAAGGTGAGACGAGCCCTTCAGGGTGAGACAGGGGGCGGGGCTTCAGAGGTACAGGCACTGCAAAGCTTTAATGTGTTATAAAGCATTTAGTCATTAAACTCTAACAGTATAAGATGTACACATGTAACCACGTCCTGGTAGGACAGAAAGGACACGAATCGTTTAGACTTATTAAAATTGGAAAAATTCATTAGATAAAAAATAAAAACGGATTTTTTCCAAAATCACCAATAAGGTCAAACGTGATTGGTGGAGGGAAAAAACCAAAACGTAATATTGTTAACAATATTTAATCGTTTTATAAGCCAACCCTTCAAACGTCATACAGAAGTACTGTACTCCTGGTAGGACGACTTCTGAGGCCTAACTCTGATGTTTAGCGGCCGGAGCTCCCGGTGGCGTTACTCAGCACAAACACCGCCCACGTTCCTCCAGTGGAAGGGTTAAAACACACCGACAGCCAGAAACACAAAAATACCAAGAAGCTGCAGGAAACAAGCTCTGACCAAAGAAAGGTAAAAGACACTGGTACACAGGCAGGAAACCTCTGAAACACCTGCTCACAGGTCAGTCGGGAAATTAAAAGAAGCACAACGAGAGGAGAAGTGATGAGTAAGAGGCAGCACACAGAAAACAATGTTTTAGTGCCACGGAGCAAGGCATGAGCGTGTGCTTCGGCGCGCTCCCGCCCTCTGCTGGAGAGTGAGCACGCCACGTCGGGTGGGCCACACACACTGATCTGAGGGGGTTAGGGTTCGGAGGCGGGTCTCACAGTGACGCACCTGTGGCTGAAAGGCGGGTCGAGGCGTCAGTCTAGGAGGCGGGACAAACTGAGGAACTTTGATTGGCTGGGCGGCGGCCTGCACCTGAGACAAAACCACAGCAGATTGTGGATCTGTGCTGCTGACATCTGACCGACACGTCTGCTGCGCTCGGTTCAGGACGCGTCGCCAAGCGTTGACAGCAGAGCGTGGGAGTAAGTAACTCTGAGAACGCGCGGTGGATCGCACACCTGTGGGCTCTGCTGAGGGAGCAGGATGGAGAACTGAGCAGCTGCTTTTGCACCGCAGGAACGAGGAACCCTGCAGGGACCAAAATCGGTCCGGTGCTGAAACTTCAGGGTTGGGTACAAACCCAGATCTACTTTTTAGAGCTCATGGAGTCATGCCCCGTCCCAGCACCGCACTGTAAACATACATTTACTCTTATTGGCTAAATGTTTCTCAAAAACTGTAACAAAGTATCAATGTTCCTCTGGATGTAGCGCCGTCGCTACATCCAGAGGAACATTGATACTTTGTAACATCCAGGTGTTTTGAGTCAGCGAGCTGTCTCCAGTCTTTTCCTTGAAAAGATTCCTGGGAGGAAAAGTTCAGAGTCCTTCACTGAACCGTGTGCAGAACACTGTGACTTCTGTCAGTTCCTGCATCCAAAGCAGAGACCAACACCTGAAGCAAACCGGACCCTCGCCTGCTCTGAAACCTGAATCACGAGCCTCACCTCCAAGTTTGAACTCGTGTCAGCGCCGTTCGACAGCTGCGCTCGTTTCTGTCTTCTGTGCAGTATTTGAATCACGGTGGTCGTGCTGTTACATCCTGTCCACGCTGCTAAAACAAGTGTAAGTTTAAAGATAAGGCAAAGCTGCAGAAGTGTTTCAGAGAACGACGGCTGCAGAACAATTTAAAAACGACCTGCTGTGTTACGATTCGTCATTTCGATCGCTCCGTTTCTGACTTTTAAGCTTCTTCACCTGACGTGTTTTTAAAGATGGCCCTCGCTGTGATCAGTTTACCCCATCAGCATCGAGGCCCACCCAGGAAGTACCTACCCACGCCCAGAGGTGGTACTTTGTTGTGTCTGGCGGCCCAGGAACGGGCGCAGAGATGTCCCCGCGGTGGAAAACCACCTGGAAAACCCTGAGTCGTGTCGTGACGTGTTCTTTTTGCAATCATGCGCCTCTGTGAGGGGAACTGAGCCCCAGAGGGAGATGCTAGAAGCTGCCGCCGCCGCCACAGCCCGCTCGAGCGCTTTCAGAGAGTCACGTGAGAGCGCACGCAGGCGGGTCAGCAGGCGGCGGTCTGAAGCGTCTCCTGAGCTCGAACAGATCGCGCCGACAGCGCACTTACCACCATGGCGTTCTTGGACACCAGCCGCATGGGCTCCGAGCTCTGATTGGTCAGCTTGCCGGCCACCTGGAGGTTGATGGGGGCGTTCTGCGAGTCGGGTTTGGTGATAGCTGTGGTTACCATAGCGACGGTGGGCGGGCGCTGCGGCAGGACGGTGCCGGGCGCAGCTTTCAGCACCAGCGTCTTTGTGGTGAGGACCGGCGTCACTGTCAGCGTCTGCGGAGGGAGAATTTAACCCACGACACATTTAAAGACAGTCGGGTTTTAAGTCGTCCTGTAAACGCCGCGTCGGCTTTCATACCTGCTGCAGCGCTCCGGCTATCTGCTGGCTCTGCAGCGGGTTGGCCGGCTTGATGTCTCCTCCTCCTGGAGGAGTTTGGACCTGCAGCTGCAGCTTGGCCTCCGGCTCCTGCTTCACCAGCAGCTCCTTCCTCAGCTGCTCCACCACCTTTTTCTGCAGGCGAGAGCACAGCACATTATTCCCACAGCAGGCGCCACGTCTCCATTCAAAAAAGCTTTATTGAAACAAAGTAAGGAACAAATGATATGGGGAGGGCTGAAGGGTGTGGAGGCAGAGGGTCGACGCTCAGAGGAAAAAAGCTTTTAAATTTTACTTTGGGGCGGAGTCATATAAAGTGTGTTTTTTAACTGGTGATTGTTCATGTGATCATTTAATTTAGAAAAGTTACTGTGAAAATAAGTAGAAATAAGTAGAAATAAGTACCCAAGCATCTGTGCATGACTGAGGGGGAGGGGCAAAAGAGAAATAAGTGAAAGAAGCAAAAAGAATGAAAGGCAGAAGAAGAAAGGGGCGGAGCTCAGGAGGTCACGCACACACTGGCGACTGAATTCTCAGTCGGAGGATAAAGCCCATCTGTTGCTTAGCAACAGTCGACTCAGAAGCAGGAACTTAATGGAGTGAAACACAATGAGGACGCCGCGAGAGAGAAAGCAGAGAAACACAGAGGACGAGGAAAGTGGCGGCGCTGCTTTCAGAGAACTGTTTGACCTTCTGCCAATAACGTGCAGCACTTCAGCCGCCGCCGCACAGCGATGTTTAATCTCGCAGGACTTCTGCTTTCACAGGTCCGATTCTAAAAACACTTCCTGTTTAACTCAGTCTTTCTCGGCCTGCGACTCGGGAGGTTCAGGCGTGATGACGTCAGCGCGTGATGGTGAGGCGCACGCTCTAAAAAAAAGGTCAAGGGTCATGCACTTTTCCCAGCACATCTGAATGAAATCAAATCGCTCCTTTTCCCCAGAATCAAAGCGACTCGTCCATGAGCAGCTGCACAGCTGCCAGTTTAATGACAAGAAGAAGAAGCAGGAGGAGGAAATCTTCTCCTGAACTTCCTTCTGTTACTCTGAGCCCGCCCCTCACGCTCCGGCTCGTATTCCCACTGAGGCAGTTTCATCAGGTGGGAGCCGAGCTCAGCGCGAGACTAATCTGCCGACTCTCTGAAACCAACTTTAGTCATCTGTGGTTACACAAGATGCCCGCCTGCACAAATACGCGGCGTTCTGTTTCCCCACAATAATCGGAGCTAATCCCGACTCCAACATCATCTCAGCACAAACTCTTATCCAACAACGTCTTCTTTAATTCTGCACGATGTCGAAGCAGCGAGCACAAAATGTTTCACACGCAGAACAAACACAGCGAGAAACATGCAGGGAGATAAAAATAGGAGGCACAATGAAAGTGTTCAAAAATAACAGAAGACAAAGAGACTCAGAACGTGGCGTAACACTCAGATGCTCATCTGATCCGTACATCACAGGGACCATCACCAAACAATCACAAAGCCACAGAGAAAGACCCCAAACACAGAGTCAAACAAACGACCGGCGAAGCTCATTAAAGAGACCGAGCCCGTCACAAACTGACAATACTCAGAGACACAAACGTGCACCGCTGTCGTTCATTAATAATGTTTGATATCAGAACGAGGTCATGAGGTGAGACTGTACCACTGCCCTGAGCTTTGGCCTTGAGCGTGTCTCCTACAGCTGAACTTTAGCGTCTGTGAAGCTGAAGCTCCGAGCTCACGTTTCTTTGTCTGAAACAACAGCTCGGTGAACTCGCCCTCTGACATCACAGAAGGTCACGCTTTAAACGAGCCCGCGGACACGAGCTCGTTAGCACAAAGCTAAACCGCGTACCTGCTTCTCGCTGAGTGCTGTGATCTTTGCTTGAAGTTCGTGGAGCTGCTTCTTCAGATCTGCGTTCTAACAAAAAACAAATGCCATGAAAACAAACGTCTGAAAAGTTTGAAGCTTCAGAGATGCTGATAAGAAACAAGAGCTTGGACCTTACCTGAGGGTCCTGCTTCATCTGAGCAACCAGTTTCTGCAGAAAGAAGAGAAAACAGATCACGCTGACACCTGCTGTTCATCACAGGGAACTGCACCCCAAACAGAGCAGCGCTCGCTCTGATAAGGATCATATATGAACTAAACAAACAAATGAAAACAGATAAAGAGACCACACCTGACCCTGATTTCTTTTTCCCGTTTTACTATCACACTATGAACATTTTCAGCTTCTTCATCGCTTCATTTAGTGCAGCAGACATCCACGTTTTCAGGGTGAAACACAGATTCAGGCTCCAGTAAACCACAGCAGGCCTCACAGTCTGCAGACTGAATGTGGCTTTACTCCCTACTACAGTTTCACTTTATTTTACTGCTATTATAATGCACTTATATGTGCCTCCACATGGCAGCTACACTAGGAGGTAACAGGTCAGGTTTTCCCCGGAAACAAAGAAATAATTAGACTGTAGATGAATTTAAGCGACGCGTAACTTCAGGTTATTATAGTAATATTAGTATATTATTAGTAATGTGTTATTTCTTCTTTATCTTGTGGAAAAAACTATATTTCTAGCACCTCCACTGTAAGCATGCTGCAGTTTTCAGGGTGGTTTACTCCGCCCAAAGAGTGCGACTGTGACGCTGTAACACTGTAACAAACTGTAACACTGTAACAAACTGTAACAAACTGTAACAAACTGTAACAAACTGTAACAAACTGTAACACTGTAACAAACTGTAACACTCCGACGTTACAGTTTCACATTCATGGTAAAGAAAGGACTGACTGAACAGCAACATAATGAATATTAAATAACAATGAATCCACTTTATGATCTGCTGACATGAACTTACGTGGAAACATTGTATTTCCTGTGAAACGACTTAAACTCACAGTATAATTACTCCTCAGGCTCCTGTAAAAACCACCTGTTGCCTCCTGATTCGATCCGTATATTTGTAGTAAAGGAAGCAGGTGTGTTCTGTGTGTTACTCAGTGTCCTGCCTCAGTGCGTTCATGCAGACACTGAACTTTGAAAAAGAAGAGCGAGCGGCCGAGACAGGAAACAGCTGAGGCCACAGCGTACCTGATGGATCTGGATCTCCACCTTCAGGGCCTCCTGTAACGTCTGTAATTCCATCATGGATCCAGTCAGTCTGCCAGCCGATCGATCAGCCTGCACACACAGAAAGGTGAGACGCTGGTGTTTCAGGGCTACACCTACCACACCTGTGTGTGTGAGCTCTCACCTGAACACTGTCTCCAGTAGGAAAACCATCCAACTGAAGCATGAAAGTGGTGCTGCAGAGGAAACAGACACATGATGACTACAGGGCAGCTCACCTCACAAACAGGCGCCCAAACATCAAACACTTCATTCACATCAGCATTAATGAGCCTCAGCATAACAGCACTCACCACCTGGCTGTGGGATCGGACTCCACCCCTCTGTGCTGCCCTGTAACACACAGCAAACGCACACGTTACAGGCCCAGTGTGTTTAGACTTTAAATAAAAGACGATCACACCAACAGTCAGTCCTGAGCCAGCACAACTCAGCGGGCGTGCAGCGGCACACACCTTCAAAATAAAACCCGTTTGTGGACTCGATTTGTACGTCCTGCTGATGTTTTCTGAAGCTTTCAGCTTCCTGTGAATGTTTGCTGTTCACGTTTTAAGATGATTCTTTTTATTATTTGGGTTTGTTTTTCTTTGCTCCAGAAAACTTTCACATGTGAGCCAAACCTGATGAGGTCACACTGCCCACAGTGATTCAGAGGTCATGTGACACACCAATCTTTGATACAAATGCATTCAAATCAAAGAGGAGCGTTAAGAACGCGCCCTGTGTAGTACTCGCTCGTGTTTCTCTGCTGGAGAGGAAACAAAAAGAATAAACTGACACATTTTCCCTCAAAAACACAAAGAAAATCATTCAGAGAAGATCATCATCATCAGAATGTGTTGCATCACCAGCCTGTTAGCTCATCCCTGCCCCTGCAGCGCCCCCTGCTGTGTGGATGCCAACAGTTACATGTCTTTGCATCAGTGAGACAAAAAACAATCTTTAAACTAAAAACAGCAGAAACAGGAACTAACATAAGGGTCAGGGCCCTTCAAAGTGTCGCCAGAAATACACCCAGGGTCCTGACATGATTTATTATTTATGACGAATCCACGGAAGAAGTTAATCAAGGAAAAACATCCGCATCATGTCTCTGAATGCTGTTTGGGGTTAACGTGAGCAGCACATCAGGAAAAAGTACTCAGGAGTACAAAGAAATGGAAATACTCGAGTACTTGACATCCCAGCCCGTAACCTGCAGACAAATGAAGTACCGAAGTACTCATAAAAACTGTAAAAGCTACAAAATAAAGTGCATAAAACATAAAAACTGCTTCATTTTTACATTTTTGAAGTTTCATTAGAATAAAAAGAAAAGAAAGAAGTGCACAAGTACTTTCACACAAGTATTATAGCCTCCAGCTTGTGCCTCAAAGTACTTTGAGTGATTGTTGGGTATTTTGTGAGCTTAT